ACGAATATTCTGTAATTTTTGTCATGTTTCTATATTTATTCTTCTAACAAATGGGATTGTTTATAAATATTTTCTTTTTGCCGTTGGATTCCTTTTTGTTTATTAGGGGGATACGCATCCTGCTCGCTCCGCTCGCCAACCCTCATATGACCCACATAGGACCCCCATCATCCTTATTCCAATTCTTGCGACCCTTAATCTGAACCTCGTGACCTTGTGATCTTTATTCGGACCCATATGACTCTTACTCTGACCCTCATGACTATTATTTTGACCCTCGTGACCCTCATTACACCCCTCATGATCCTTATAACCCTTGATCTGACCCTTGCGACCCTTAATCTGATCCTCGTCATCCTTATTCTGATCCTCATGGCCCTTAATCTCACTCTGGTAACCCTCAATTTGATCGTCGTGAGCCTTATTCTGACCCTCATACCCTGATTCTGAACCTCGTGACGTTTATTCGGACCCATATGACCCTCACTCTGACCCTCATGACTATTATTTTGACCCTTGTGACCCTCATTACACCCCTCGTGACCCTTACAACTTTTAATCTGACCCTTGATCCCTTGTGACCCTTAATCTGACCCTTATGACCCCTAATCTGACCTTGTGACCCTTAATCTGTCCATCGTGACCATTATTCTGAGCCTTATGACCCTTACTCTGATCCTCATCACCATTATTTTAACCCTCGTGATCCTTATTTTGATCCTCGTGATCTTCAATTGTGGAGTCTTAATTTCGAGTATCAAATTTTTATTACCAGAAGTAGATTTGGAATTTTATAATATAGAGAGATAAGAAAATATGTTTTTTTATAAGTACTTAAAAGTGCTGGTGCTTGTTTTGTAAAATGCATTTTTTTTATTTGTAAATTAGTTTCCACTAAGCTTCCAGTTTGTAAATTATTTTCCACGATTTCAAAATTTCAAAAGATTGTAACTTTTTAAAAATAAACTTTTTCTGGAAATTCGACAATTTTTTTAAAGCGAAATAGAGTTGAATGTCCCATTTCTGTAGACTCCAATGAATTTTTTGGTGTAATTTTTAGAAATTTTTATGAAGTGGTAGTGTCACCGGAATTTCAAGAAATTTCGTCATTGAAAAATCATAGTTTGATTACAACGATTGTCGAAATTTTTTGTGACGCGCGAGGTGGATTAGTTATTGCGTCAAGTGGTACAATATTTGATGAGATAGTTGATGGATATTAGATGAGCCGTAATATCGAAATTATCCCATCCCATTATCCCATCTAATTATTCCGGGAAAAAAGCCGAATATGCTCTGCATTTTTTCATATTTTTATGCCGATTCCTTTAAACAAATGAGGTTGTTCGTAAACATATTCACTTTTCGCCATCGGATTTTTTTTGTTGACAAGACAATATGTGTTGCGATAGGCGTTTTTTCTTCATAAAATAAATTTTTTATTTGTAAATTATGGGAAAAAAACTATTTTTCAACAATTGAAAATTTCCAAATATTATAATGAAAAAAAATCTTTTATCCTTGGTTGAATGAGTTGAATGTCCCATTTCTGTAGACTCCAATTAATTTTTCGGTGTAATTTTTAGAAATTTTTATGAAGTGGTAGGTCACTGGAATTTCAAGAAATTTCGTCATTGAAAAATCATAGTTTGATTACAACGATTGTCGAAATTTTTTGTGACGCGCGAGCTGGATTAGTTATTGCGTTAAGTGGTGCAATATTTGATGAGATAGTCGATGGATATTAGACGAGACGTAATATCGAAATTTCATCTAATTAATCCGGGAAAAAAGCCGAATATCCTCTGCATTTTTTCATGTTTTTATACCGATTCCTTTAAACAAATGAGGTTGTTCGTAAAAATATTCACTTTTTGCCATCGGATTTTTTTTGTTGACAAGACAATGTGTTGCGATGGGCGTTTTTTCTTCATAAAATAAATTTTTTACTTGTAAATTATGGGAAAAAAATTATTTTTCAACAATTGAAATTTTCCAAATATTATAATGAAAAAAAATCTTTTGTCCTTGGAAGCGGAGCTGTATTTGATAGATTTTTTACATGAATTGATTTTAGAATAACACCTGCATAAATAAAATAATTTTGAAAAACCTATTTCAATAAATAACAATCAGTGAATCATCGTGTGATGTATATCAGTGGGGATTTCCCCACCCAATACGATAGGGATCAATTCTGCCCAGATGGTTGAGAATTAAATACCGCAAATGATATGACATCTCTCACAGACGAGTCATCAGGTGGCAGCTTGGTACGAAAAAATTTGATAAAAAACCTGCTGCAGTCGCTTGAAAATTCTATAGGATTTCTATTGAACCTTTCATTCAGTTTTGGCCTTTTTTCAATAGAAATGTTCAATGAAATGTGTTCTATAGAAAAAAAGTTTTTTGTTTGATTTTTTTTTACTGAACAGAGAAGAAAAATAGAGTGGAAAAAGCTTGGAGAATTCATAACCAGGAATTCCTATAGAAAATGTTGCAAGAGGAAATGTGGTTCAGAAAGATGGAATTCTATTAGAAATTATATTCTATTTTTTCAATAAAACAAAACGCGTAATAAAGCTGCGGGATTCTCCAATAGAATCGACCAACAACTAATAGAATTTTCAATAGAATTTCAATAGAATCCAATAAAATTTTCTTTTGAATTTTTCACAGAGTTTAGCCTTCTTTCAATAAAAATGTTCAACGGGAAATATTCTATAGAAAAACAATTATAGAATGTGATTTTTTTACACAACTTATTCTCTAGAGCTATTTTCCACACAAATTCTACAACTCAAATTTTCCAAGTGTTTTGTTTGAAGTTTTTAATGAGAAGAAAAATGGAGCGGAAAAAAATTGGAGAATTCATACCCAAGAATTCCTATAGAAAATGTCTCAATAGGGAATATTGCTCAGAATGATGGAATTCTATTTGATATTTTTTCTATTAAACAAATCGTGCAGTAAACCTACAGAATTCTCCAATAAAATTGGCCAACCAATAGAATCTTCGATTGAATTCGCTACGTGTATTTCTAAAATTTTCTCATGCGTAATTGAAAGTACAAACAGCTGGAAAATAATTCCCGGCAAAAATGCCAGGATGACGAGTGCATTCCGGTGCTTCGAGGAAAGTTCCAAACGTAAAAGCTAACTGGAGTGGGCGGACTCCAGGAAACATTCACCATACGCACATATCCGCGCATGCAAATTCTTTATTCTGTTAATCTTTCTAATTCCAAAAAAAGTCATTTACATCAGCGCATTTCGAGCGATGATACCGCGCGGTAATTCGTAGATTACATCGGAATTAATTGATATCGATGGGTGACGAAACCTGTCTATCGTCACTGCAGCTTATCAGTACCCCACCGAGACATTCTCACACAATTAGACTCGATTTTATAAATTCCAGGCGATTAATTTTTGGGGGTGACAAATCGTCCCAAGTGACGCTGACTATATCACCTCGAGGAGCACCAACAAGTGATGATTAATACGAGATGATTATCTGGGTTTGATGAGTTTTTGAGTGGATATGATCGTAAAAAATTAATAAAATGTTTTTCAGAATTTCAGGCATTTTTCCTGGGTTTGATTATGGTGATTAAAAAATCTGTGACATCTTTGGAAGTTTAAGACATTAATACATGTCTTGAACGTGTATTTCTCGGGTATCAAAAAATGTCATCTTCTTCGACTTGAAATTTTGTCAATGACTGAGGTCTTAAATTCAAGACTGATTTAAAACACTTGTTTTAATTGAAAACACTAGTTTTAATTTTATATTCTAGTCTCAATTTGTGACACTACAGTAGATAGAAGACCCTTGAATTACGGCCGCAGTCTTACCTTAAGACACTCTTGATGTTAAGACGTGAAAAAACTGTTTTTATGTTTCAATAATGGGTTTTTAAATACGACAAAATTTGATTTTTAGCCGTTTTGAAAAATCTTATTTGATTTTAAATTTAAATTAAACCTCCGGATTTTAAGACTGGGCAATTTTAAGACATGTGTTGATAAGAAATTCTAAATTCTAAGACCTCGGTAAATATTTCAGTTAAAACCGCAAAAATGTCTCTCCTCCCGATTTCAGAAATTGGGACATATTGTCACATCTTAAATTAAGCTTCTGGATTCTAATACTCGATAATTTTAGGACATGTCTAGACAAAAAATCATAACTTTCAAGATCTCAAAAAAAAAATCTCAATTAAACCCCCAAATATTTCATTCCTCCGATGTCAGAAATTAAGATATACAGTTATGTCTTAACTTAAGCTCCACATTCTAAAACTCCACAATTTTAAGACATGTCAAGTAAGAAAATTATAACTTTCAAGACCTCAAAAGTCTCAATTAAATCCCCAAAAATGTTATGCCCCCCCCCCGATGTCAGAAATTAAGACATACCGTCATGTCTTATTAAACCTCTGTATTCTATGACTCGACAATTTGAAGCCATGTCCAGATAAAAAATCACAACTTTCAAGACCTCAAAAAATATCTCAATTAACACCTCAAAAATTTCATCCCACCGATATCCGAAATTAAGCCGTTCCGCCACGTCTTAAATTAATTCTCTGGATTCCAAGACCCGACAATTTTAAGACACGTCTAGACCAAAAATAGTAATTTCTGAGATTTCAATAAATATTTCAATTGAAACCCCAAAAATTTCATTCCCCCCGACATCACCAATTAAGACATTCCGCCACGTCTTAAATAAACCCCTGGTTTTCCCGACATTCTCAAACCCACCAGAACCTGAATATTTTTCCAATGACGAGTAGCCCCCAGTCGGTTCGTCTGACGCGTGCCGCGAGAAAAAGCACACCAGCCTCCCCCCCCCCGTCAATATTTTTTCTCACAGATACCGATAGAGACACTCAGCGTTCGAGCCGTTGTACGTACGTACGATTTGTTTACTCTATGGCATATATAAAGGAGGAAGCACGAGGGTTTGACAATCTCAGTTTGCCATCATCACCAACTCGTGGAGCATCAATTCAATCGGCTATCTAATCGCCACCGTGCACCCAGTGCCTCAAGAAATTCCACGAAGTGCATCACTCGAAAAAATAGTCACTGTGATTGTTCATCATATATTTGAATAATTAAAAAAAAACCCTACCAACATGTCTCGTGCCAAAATTGTCATCATCTCCGTGATCATGGCGACTGCATCAGCAGCTCCAACATCACCCGTCAGAGAGCCCAGATCATTGGACCCATTCTGGCACTTGCCGTGTGGTGAAGTCATCGACACGGACATCACTCCATCCGGAAATATTGTAGAGGAACTCAAGTCCATCCTGTTGAGCATAAAACTCCAGCACCAACTCACCCTGAATGACTACCTCAGTCGTGACTATGAGTTCCTCTACGAACGCGTAAGAATAGGCGTTCACGAGCATCAGTACATTCCGAATTGGGTGCCAGGGAAGAGGGATGTTAACATTGTAAGGAGATTAGCTGGAAAAGAGCCACAAACTGTAAGTTTTTTCCCTGAATTATTTAAACTTTAAGCCTCCCGAAACGATGTCTTAAGCCGTCTTAAATTGAAATGTCGGACAAAAAATCAGTGAGAGATGTACAAACTCATAGTGACTGGAATTGTGAGGGTCTTAAATGTCTTAAAACGGCCTTAAGGGTCTTAAAAGTCTTAAAAATATCTTAAAAGATGATTATTTCGAAATATTGTGAATCTTAAAAATGCTCGGAGTCTTATCCTTTAAGCATCAGTAATGTCTTAAAGGGTCATGTCCTAATAATGACTTAAATGTTTTAAAACTCGGGAAAAGTAAACGTCTTTGTTTCAAAATAATCGCAGATGTTTCGACATTCAGATACCGTGGATATCTCAATGGTCTTAAAAATGTCTTAAAAGTCTTAAATGCCAAATTTCTTCAATGTTAATATTGAAAACTCCAAATAGACACGTAAAAAGTCTTGTAAATCTCCTAAAAAAATTGTTTTAATTTAGTCCCCTACGTTTCCCCTTGAATTAATGAATATCCATCTCCCAAAAGATCCATCGATTACCTCCCGAATTAATATGATTAACTTTCTCTCCATTTCTCGATCACTTCCCATTAATATTCATGCATCCTCTCCTGCTGTGCCTCCAGCATCATAAATGCTATCGGTATCCGCGTAAACTCTCATTGCCTCCCGTTCGACCAGTGAAAATCCAAAAATATTAGCATAACCATGTGTGCACCGGACGAATCCAATCCCCACTTGATTGATTAACGTTAAATAACAAAATTTTAATGAGACAGTAATTATTATAAAGTACCAGGGTAACAGAAGCCCGGGTGGTCGATTCGATACAGCGTTGTAGCGCGCGCACAGGCAATACGATACTTCATGCTCGCCGGGTCGTGCAACTGCGTAATCGTGCGCCTGTCTCGTGTGGTTTTCGCCACCGATAACACGAGGTGATAGACGGCAGATATCCCACACCTCGTTACCCTCTCCCACCCGCCGATGATTGAGCCACTGAAATTTATTTCACGGTTGATCGAGAGTTTCATTAGAATTACTAGTTCCTTGAATTGAGACATTTCTGCTAGGATTTTCGTGACAGTTGTGTTTTTTGTCAAATTGAGGTGTCAACTTGGGAAATTGTGTTTTAAGACAATTTAAGACGTTTTAAGACCATGTAAGAAATTTGTTATTTCACAATATTTTGAGACCATTTTCAAATGTAATTAAAAAATATCTGAAAAACGGTGTCTTAAGAACCTTTAAGACCATTTTAAGACGCTTTAGGACGTTTATAAGACCATGAAAGGACCTCGAAGACAATTTTAAAAAGCTCTGGAACGATGTTAGAAGACCATTTTAACCCCAATTACGACGGTTTCATGACATTTTTTGGCGTCTTAAGGAAATCTTAAGACACTTTAAGACAATACGCTATAATTCCAGACGCACTTTAAAACGATTTCAGAACATGAGATCATGGTCAAATTCCTAATGACAATTTGAGTAACTATTATTCGGTTTTAAGATGCTGTAAGACAATTTAAGACGTATCGAGATGATTTTAAGACGCTACAGAATTACAAGTAACACTTTAAGACAATTCTAAAACACTTCGAGGACATCTTGAGAAACTCTGAAGATGGTTTCAGATAATTTAAGACCGTTTAAGACCACATTAGGAAGACTTAAGACAATTTTGGAAGCTCAAGACGATTTAAGACGTTCTTTGATGACTCAACGCTTCCGACTATTACATGATTCCAGGACTGACGTCTTAAATTAAGACAGTTTTAAGACACAACTCTCTACATTCGTTTCATAATCTTTAATCTATTATTTTTTGCTTAAAGATCGCTAATCATCTGCCGAAACTTCATCTAGACCTCCAGAAGTTTGCAGTGGCTATTGAAGAGCTTATCGACGACGAGCCAACGGAGAAGATTATGGAGGCCCTCAGGAGCACGCAGTCGTACCTCCAGATGATGTTGTGCGAGGTCGAAAGTGACATTGGTTATCTGCCGGATGTCAACTTGCCGGAAAGGGTCCCCAGGAGCATGATGACGGCAGTCGAGAGGGAGCCCGTTGACGAGACGAGGAGATTAGTCCGGGACTGGGGAGTCCTCCTCAAGTACAAGGATTATCTCCACGCCTGGAGGCACGTCTTCGACTACTGAGAAAATTTTTCACTTGAAATTTTCCTGATCTCTCTCTCTTCAAGCTCTCTATCGCACCCTGCCCTGCACATACCAGAACAGTTTGAACGTACAGTATTTATAGATTGAATATCGATGACATCTCAACAGTAGGAGATTTTTTTTCAATATTTGTTTCGATGCAAGTGACGGTCCGTGAACGCATCGGTAAAAAATGAAGTGAACAGGCTTAGGTGCATTGACGCAAATTGATTTAGCATACGGGAGGGTAATGAGTTTACATTGGGATTAGCAGTTATGCATACACGGAGGAAGTGCGGGGGAAAGTGTCTTAAACGGTTAGTGACGGGTCCTCAATGATCGACACGATGTCTTCAATTTTGAGGATAAATTTTTTATTTTTTTCAGATGTCCTAAATTTTAGGATGCTGTCTGAAAAGTTTAAGGCAACGTCTTAATTTTTTTTTGCAATTTCGATAGGGATTTCAATTTGAATTATGAAGTTGAAATTGCAATTTGGGATTTTGATTTTAAGACTATGGCTTAAAATTTGAGACAAGGTCTTAAAGGTTTAAGACGATGTCTTAAAAGGTTGAGACAATGTCTTGTTTTTTTCTGCAATTGCAATTCAAATTCAACGTCAAATTATGAATTTCGAATTTATTCTTGATTTCGAAATTTAATGCCACGGCTTAAAATTAAGGCAGTGTCTTAAAAAAAATTAATCAGAAGTTTCAACAATTCAAGAAAATTTAAGACAATAACTTAAAATTTGAGACGCTTTTTAAAAAAAATTCTATAGGTGTCTTAACAATCCGGGGAAGTGTTCTACCAATTTGAGATAGCGTTTTATAAAATTAAGACCGTGTCCCAAACAATTAAGACAATGGCTTAAAATTTTAAGACAATGCCTTGCCATTTCTTCTACAATTTGAATTCAAATCTACCTTTAAATTGAAAATATTTAATTGTAAGGCAGTGTCTTACAAAATTAAGAAGTCTTAAAGATTTAAGACCATGTCTTAATTTTTTTTTTAATTTTGACAGAAAAATGTATCCCGTCATTCCATCTACACACGGTACTAGTATTACCAGTGCATATCACAATATTTTCCTGGAATGCAAAAAGTTCAAGTCATCCGCTATGACAGATAATTTTAGCCTCTCAGCTCAGGGAATACCCTGCTATTCGTAATCTTTATTCATTCAAAGCTATTTGAACAAATCGACTGATACTCTACAAGGTAGAGTATCTAACGGCCACCGATAGGTAACGTAAATGTGTTATTAGGTGATACACTGACAACTATTTATGAATTTATTTATTGCATTTAGGAACAATTGTATTTATTCGCAACTAAGTATTTAATGAGTATTTATTGACCAATTAGTAGATTACGTGATCGAAGAATTAATCTTCAAGTTCAAAGACCTCTGCAATGTGCCTTAAACTAATAATCAATTAGTTCATAATAATATTTTTTCGGCGATTTTATCATAAAAGACGGTTAAGACAATGCCATTAGGATCATGCAGTATTAATTAATAGTACGTCTTAATTTATTGCGATGTAGTGAATAGTTATTTATTGCTTTTTATACCAAATAAATTATTCTCGAACATTACGACGATTGTTTACATTTTTTATCCCATTTCTGTGATTGAAAGGGACGTGTGAAACATAAATGAAATGTCATTCAAATTATGTTTCCAGAGATTGACATTTTCCCAGAGAAAATCGGCAGTTGGTACAAACAGTACCTGCAATTGTCCAAACATTCCGAAGAAAAAGACGAAAGGTGAATTGATTGTTTTCTTAATCAAACTACAAATAACTGTGTCAAGAATAATTCTCAACCGTGAGCGAGCTAATACGAAGGAATTCGAAGGAGATATCCCAAAGCTACTTAGGATTAAAGTATGATTAAAGTATGATTCAGCGTAGTCGAGAGTATCTTAATCACTTTCTGCAATTTAAAAAAAAAATGCTCAGCGAGTAATTGCTCAGAAATGTGATATTCTCTGATGGTTGAAAGAACAAACTCATCCGTATATTGACGCACATTCATTCGTTGAGATAAATTAGAGAGCGTTACCCAGTGATTACAGAATGGCTACTACGATTTTAATTTATTTAGAGAAAATCGTCAGTTACAATCTTGTGATATTTCTGAGAAGCTTGATGGTGAGGATCAAAATGTATAATTCTTGTGGTTTAGATCATCTATGAAATTTTAGCACTATTTCATCATCGTCAACAGAAATAGTCATTACCACAATGAGACATTTGGAAAAGTTTTCCCTTCTTTCACTTTATAAACGATTTAAATTGGAATTTACTTCAAAAACTAATTCTACGCAATATTTATCAATATTTAACATGAGGAGATCGTCATTTTACTTACTGTCAATAGCTACAACTTCTATAATGATTTCGCTATCTACATTACCGTGTGTACTCTCACCGTCTAGGTGGATAAGTTATCGGTTAATTATAAGAATTCCTATCTTGCCATCGAATGCATCAAAACACTTCCTCTTGTATCGTTTAATGTCATTAAAAATAACGTTGAGAATGTCTCCAAATTTTCAACGATTCATATCCGAGTGTAATCCAGGATTTGAATCCGTGGATCGCAATGTGCGTTCGAAATGTCGATGTTCATGTGTCGTTCAGTTCACAAGTTGATGTGCAATCACCTGAGTTCTTCGATCGTGCGCTTTGGATTAATCAAAAGTCCAAGCAAACACAAAAATCGAATGTTGATATTATTAAGGATAATTTGTGTGGTGATGCTCGCTAGCTACATTACCCTCCATATACTTATCGTCTGGGTCGATAAGTTATCGGTAAATTATCAGAATTCTTACCTTATCATCGGATGCATTAAATAACTTCCTCTTTTATCACATTATCTCCCTTAAAATGAAGTTCAGAATGTCTCCAAATTTTAATCGATCATTCAGTTTGACATTAATGCTTGTAGAAAATATGTTTGGTATTCTCGAAACAACAGCAATTGTAAACAATTTTTATGTAGTCAGCGATTCATAGCTGAGCGTGATCCGGGAAATGAATCCATGGATCGCAATGTGCGTTCGAAATGTCGATGTTCATGTGTCTTACAGTTCACAAGTTGACGTGCAATTACGTGAATTCTTCAATCTTCCGATTTGGATCCATCAAAAGTCCAAGCAAACACAGAATTGAATGTTAATTTTATTCAGACTTGCGTTTACTCTGACCATCGCAAAAATTTAAGATCGTGTCTTAAGAATTGAAGCCATTGTTACAAATTTTGCTACGACCAATCTAAATTTATTCATTAAACAAATTTAAGGCACCTACCTTATCTCCAAATGTGGTGCCACCAGATGTCGCCTCAATCACCAAAACAACAGGTCCTCTCATTAACTCCTAATAGTCTTCATTACCGGCCCTTTATTACCGTCACTCATTACGTCATCAGACAATGTTTTTTGATCCCCAAGATCTCCTTCAACAAAACCACATGACAATTTCAACCCAGAACTACAATAGATCACCGGTAATTACCAGGCAACTCTCATATGAAAGTGATTCGCATGTCCCTAAGCCACGGAGTCACGACACAAAGACCGAAACAAGAAAATGCACTCACCACATTCAATCATCCGATAGAAATGTCGCCAGCAGTATTTCAATCGTGAGCGTGAAACTACGGGAGCAGAAGCGCATACTTGAGACGGCGGGTTACCGCGGGTTCAGAGGGTCACAGACACTGAGAAAGCCATAGCATCTATTATATAACCTTGCGCGTAACAGAAGCACTCAAATCCCATGTCTAAAAAAAGAGAAAAAAAATCATGACACACGTCTCCATGAGCGGATGATTATTTCCATCATTATCTCATTATTTTCTCTATACTCGTCGTATTTATCATTTACAAAACGCATCTAGTCTCTCAGAATGGAAATCATTAATCGCAACAATGAGTCAATGGATTGAATCGACTCCAGCGTGGGAACTGTCAGTGTGAAAGCCAGAGGGATTGTCGTGACATCGCGACCTTGGGGGGCCGTGGGTGGATGACCTTGTTGCACATCGATACGCACTGTGATGTAGACCCCAGGCCAGTAATGACGCGATAGTTACAACAACTCGAGACACACGAGTAACGGGAATCATTGTTGATGCATTCGATTCACTGACCGAGAATCGATAATGACGGCTGAGGTATGAGTATGATCCGCGCTCTAATTGTCCTTTCAGGTTTATTGGATTGATCTGTCGGGTTGGGTAACACGTGGTTTTGATGGAATTTCTATTATATCTTGAAGAACATTATTGTAATGGCATGAGATGGATGACCATTGGCTACTGCGCCACCTTGCGGTGGCGTCCCTGTACTTGGGTCTTCATAATTTGTTTTTTTCCTTCCTCTCAACAACTTTCTTACAAAATTTAATTAAAAAATTTGGTTAATTGGTTAAGACATTACTTCTTTTTATTTATGGCAATAATGAGAGTATTTGATTTCTCTGTAGCCAAAAGCTTCTTTCGCGCCAATGGGTGCAAGAAAAAAATACCCGACCGGTGTGGGAAATTTCACTGTACAGGTGGATAATTTTTGCATCCACACACTGACAGAAAAAATTGGTTTTATCAAGAGAATTTTATTTGAACTATCATTATTGTAATGGCATGAGATGGATGACCATTGGCTACTGCGCCACCTTGCGGTGGCGTCCCTGTACTTGGGTCTTCATACACTTTTTGATTCATAGCTGGTGACCAACGAATAGGCAATATTCTTGGGATATAGAACCCAAGATGAGTGAATTATAATACTGTTCCACATTTGTTCTTTTCGTCCCTCTCATCAACTTTCTTACAAAATTTAATTAACAAATTTGGTTAATTGGTTCAGAGATTAGTTCTTTCTATTTGTGGCAATAATGAGAGTATTTGATTTCTTTCTTGCTAAAAGCTACTTTCTAGCCAATGGGTGCAAGAAAATAATACCCGACCGGTGTGGGAAATTTTACTGTACAGGAGGATAATTTTCATCCACGCACTGACAGAAAAAATTGGTTTTATCAAGAGAATTTTATTTGAACTATCACTATTGTAATGGCATGAGATGGATGACCATTGGCTACTGTGCCACCTTGCGGTGGCGTCCCTGTACTTAGGTCTTCAGAACCTCCTTGATTCACAGCTGGTGACCAAGGAATAGGCAATATTCTTGGGATATAGAACCGAAGATGAGTGAATTATAATATCGTTCCGCATTTGTTCTTTTTCTTCCTCTCAACAACTTTCTCACAAAATTTAATCAACAGATTTGATGATTGAAAAAGGTTGAATCTATAATGTGGTCTGTATCAAACTGTAAAAGATACTTGGATCCTCAAGACTACATTGAATTATTTAAAAAATAATTCAATTATGTCTACCTTAATTTCATTTTTTATTGCCATATGATCATCCAAAATATAATTAAAAACTCTCATTCATATGAGTCCGTCTTCATATTGAAATTCGACTGGCCATTGAACCTGATCTTTTTTCACTTTCACTCAACACACGGGTGTGTCGTCATGTTTTTCCAATGAGGCAGAAGCATTGAAATCGTGAGTCCGTAAACAAGAAGACTACACACTGAATGGAAACGGAATTATTGAACAATGCAAGTGTTCCATGAACTGCTTTCTACGATCTGGCATTTGAATCATACCAAATTCCTAACGAGGATGGAGATCGAAGCGATCGCAGTCACGCGTTGGGGTATTTGATACACTTCCACCACCCGTTCTCCAGCATTGGAGTTTACGGAGACCCCAGTGGCATTCAAATGCCACTATTTTTTTCGCGATCCATTATGTCTGGAATAATGCCTCTCTCCCTTCATCTTGGGTGAGTCCTCTCTGTACTTTTACTCACCTCTTCCCAATTATTATCGGACGAGATAGTCCACACCTTGAGATTACTCAGACGCATTCTCATCGAGTTGAGAGTACGGTGAGAGCATAAATGATTATTTAACGGTTGTAAACACAACGCGATGTGACTACTAGTTATTTCTTGATACGCATCGTGAGAAAGTCATTTATATTATGATGAATGCGAGAAGTGTCTTAAAGGCGTCTTAAATGCGATATTGAGTGGATTGCCAAAGTGTCTTAATTTAAGGCGGTAAAAATTCCGATTTGAGCCACGGAAAATCGATGAAGTTCAGCTGCATGATTGTCTTAACGTTCAATAAAAATGTACCTTAATTTAGGACGTCTCAATTAAGATATCATCGGCATCGAGTATTTCGATTTAAGACACTAATCATTGATGAAGTTTAGATACATGAAGGTCTTTCAAGTGTAAACGGAAGGGTTATTATTTTGTCTTAATTAATTTGTATTAATTTGTCTTAATTTAAGATTATAAGACATCGAGTTAAGACACTTGAAAATCCTTTAATGTAAATATCAACGTGTTCGAATTCGTAAAAATTAGTAAAGTAGAAATGCACGAATGTCTTAAAGTTCAACAAAAATGTGTCTTAATT